TACGAATGTTCTCTGGGGAGGGTCAGTTCCAGCCCCGAGGGCATATACAGGGATCTCCACCGTCATTACCCGTGGGGATAATGTTCGTGATTTGCACCTTGAGTGTCCCATCACTGGGACGTCCTTGCTGGACCCATCCTCTCGTAATGAGACGTATGTGGCAACGCTAAGTCGTGAAAATAACAGCTCGTTCCGCATTCGGCGGCCCACAATACGAGGGGACTAAAGAGGTACTAAGTGGGATGTGTCATCAGATGAGAAAAGAGGAAGGCAGTTAATGCAGAACAACTTGTCATATGCGAGAGTCTGCATGTCTTTTACCAGAAACCGGGGACATTCGGCCATCCGTCATCGCCGGCACTCGCATTCATCACGTCCCGGGAAAAGAACAGGCCATGGGAGGGCCTCCTTGTAAGGGGGAAAAGGGAAGCCGGCTGGGGGGTCGGGGGATGGATTCCTATGAGAAACCTATAACCGTCTTCTCCTGGGGTCAAGGGTCGGATCCGAATCCGATCTGGCTGTTAACGGAGGAGAAAAATCAATTACGGCGGGGGAAAAGAGAGTGAAATAGAACGAGCTGCTCCTCGTAAAAGCACAGAGAGCTTCGTACAGATTCGTACAATTCAATAGAGTTTCTCAAAATGGAAGGAAACCCGTCGCTGATCCTCTTTTCTCGTGAGAGAAGGAAGCGGAGGCAAGTCCTTTCCTTCTCTCATTTCCCATCCACTTCTGCATGCAATCAGACCAAAGAGCTCTCAATATAAATGTAAACGAATTTTGACTCGAGATTACCATACGTATGAAGTTGGGATGGAAAAAAATTGCGGCTCGAGATTGCCATGAAGCTGGAAAAATAAAAATCTGCCTGCATAGCTCCCGAAGTTTGTGAAGGAACTCAAAGGAAAATTTTTTCTTCTTCAGCAGGTGAATTTTTCCGTTTCAAGGGAAGCTGTCGGCATGAAAACATTAATGGGAACTTTTTTTTAAGTGCCTCCGGTAAATGCTTGCGACTCCCACGACCTGAACGATTCAGCGACTTTTGACTCACCGACAGGAAGGAGAGGGAGAGAAGGTCAGATAGTAGAAGGAAGGCAGGAGAAGCCTTCATCCGCATCTTCGGTCACTCGATCATCGGGAGATCACTCAAACGTATGCACAAAAACGCTGAAGACAGCAACGCACATTGGCGTCCGACACACGTGCAGGGCTATGGATGTCCGGGGCGTGCCTCCTCGTCCATTCCACGTAATCTGAAGAGAGAAACGGGAGAACCCAGGTTTCCTTTTCGGCCTATGAACCCTTATACTACACGATATAATACATGGAAAAACTCTCGTAAGAATATATGACCCTTTATGGCCTTTACTCCTCCCACATTCTTACGTTTTACTCCTTCGTTGCATCCCGACAAGCACAAAAAATGTGGACGTTTCCTAATTGAGTTATGAATTCTTTATAAATAGAAACTCCTCTCTAGTTCTTCTTCGTATGCATATGTCAAGAATTAACATTGATGTCATGCAAACATCAAATGAATGAGGTCAAATAATAAAACGCCACGAGCTAACAACTCAGATCCCAGCGCAAGGTCGCACCAGTCGATCGAACTGTTCAATGTAGTTATTCAGACCCAAGTATCGGTATGAAGAAACAAAACCAAGCTATTAACCGCCGAAGAAGACCCGACACAAAAAGCGTCGGCACTGTGTGAACAGGCGCGAACGTGAAATGGAGAGAAAACTAAATAATGAGTCCATGAGGTGGCAGGGGGGGGGGAGTACGATCCAACAGCGAGGGACGTCTAGAGGCGACTGACGGCGGGCGCGGGAAAGACGAGGACCGAGGACTCCCCCCTCCACCAATCACAGCCAGCGATTATACTTTGGAGAACAGCATATTCGATTTCGCTCTTCCCGCCTTGATTTCACTCGTATGTTTGCAACTTTCACTTCTGTGAAAGGGAATTAGAAAATATCGCATTTTCACCTGAGTAGTCTGAGTGATACTTAGCAGCTCTTATTGCGTCTTTGATCCTATCACCCTAAGCCATTTCAGGCTTATACCATTTCGCTGTATTTTAAAAAACCTATATCAGTTCTGGGATTGAAACTCAAAAGAGAAGGGAATCCCGCGTGAAACAGAATATGGGTTCGAAGGGCTGCACGTAATGACAGGTAGGAGCATATTCCAGTCCGCGATAAATGATTGAGGCTTATTAGAATGTCCATTAGGGATCAAAAGGAAGAAATTTTCACGCGATGGGGGAACTTGACACCCTCTCACGGAAGCGCTCTTTTCTCAAATCGTGAAATATTCAAATGTTCGTGATGAGGGGGAACAAGCACGTGAAAGAACCCTCTAGTCACGCGCAAAGAATGTGATTGCAGTTGATAAGACAAACCGGATAGAACACAACACTTTTTTTTCTTTACATACGTAGAGAATGTATAATGTTTACATAGCATGGTATATAGTGTATTTATGCTCTTCTACAGTCCTTCAAATAGGCTGGATGGAGTGATATAGAAGGAAGACTAACCTGAGTGGAAGCGGCGGCACATCCCCACGCAACGAGAGTGTTATATTGCGGGTTATCCACTGCGAGCCGTGATTGGGATCGTAAAACCCGATAAGAGCGAGGGAACGAGCCGTGTTGACACTCCACTCATATCGGAGTCTCTGCTCCCTTCGTGGCAGGCCTCGTTTCTGACCGTGACAGACGCAGATATGGGTCAATCCCGTGAAGGGAGGCGAGGCGCCTTGGGGTCTGGCTCAGCGATCGATGTCCGGGAATGGCTGTGCCTCCGCTTTTTTTGTTTTCTTTCCATTTTTGCCAGACGGATCCGTCATCGTCATGCATAAGACCTTGACAGCCTTTGTAGAACATTCTTTGGGAGAACTTTTAATCACGGCTTCCAGGAACAGGAATTCGGGGGGGGGGAATGGGGGAGAGGAATGTCGGGAAAGAGACTTTTCAGCGTCTCTGTATTTCTCGAGATCTTTCCAGGGTCGTGTCATGCTGCAGACATCGCTGCTCTTTTTTTTTCCATTCTCGGAGATTCGTCGCGTCTGAGTCAGACTTATGCATCATATCGGACGGGGACACTCAGGAGCTGAATCATAATGCCCCCTTCCTCGTGACGTGGTCAGGACGATGCATAAAAGCGAAATATTGTCAGAAGGTCAAGGCTTCATGAAGCCCTATGAGTGAATAGTCGATGAGTTGAACACTGGGTCTTACCGGAGTCATGATGTGGCAAAATGACAAAATAAATTCGTAATTGTCGCAAGTAAATCGCAAGTAACAGACTCAAAGTAATATAAACATTCGTGCAGAGCTCGTGCAAAATATTACATTATTCAGTATACTATACTGTGATCACTAGATGGCTCTGCCCATCGTGACTGTTCTGAGGGAGTCGATCTGCTGGTCGCGAATGCTCCCTTACAAGAAAATCCATGTCTGCCCCTCTCCTTCGCAAACAAACGGAGCCGATACTGCTGAATTGAGGGGGGCGGATATCTGAGATAGGGGAGGATGGAAATGCCGTTGCGACCCTGCTCTTCCAGCCACCCAATTGCTCCGACTCACCTATTTTCCGAACGATAAATGCTTTGTGGCTGTATTTGTGTCGTGCTTTATGTTACGCGACTAGACTTGCCTTTTAAGTAAATGTGGCTCGATGCAGTGAGTTTCGACGTAGCGATCCTTAATAGCGGAAATTCAACATTTGAAAGTCATAGCTGCATTTTGGCTGTGAAAGTAACTTCATTCCGACGTAGATGCAAAAAAAAAAGTATGAGCTATCGCGATGCCTCAATTCCATGAGTCATGAACGATTTTCTCCTCGATAATTACTTTCCTCTAAATGAGAGTAAGAATACGCAATTTTCCAACATCCATATTTATGACGGGAAATCGGTAAGGAATATTTATCGATTCCGGCAACTCACGCACTCTCTGCCTTGAATCACCGATTCCCTGTTGGAAGAACAGCGATAACTGGTACATCTCGCCGAGATAAATATAAATGATGTAGCTGGGGGTAAATATGCCAAGGCTCTCGGCTGTGTTCATATATACTCTATCCTAGAATATATGTCGGCTAATTTCAAAGCAGGAAATCCAGGATTCAGGTCAAACCCAGCCCAAATTTTCTTTTGTATTGCTCAGGGGGTAGGCTCCCGATTATTCAAGGGCCATCCAAGATCCAAGCAAGCGCGTCGGAAGAGAGAAGAAGGATCGTTAAGATCTCTCAGAGGAACTAATATACGGAAGAGCGCTCTTGACTCACCCAGTTTTCGTTCCTGCTTTCTTCCACCAGATGTCTCTAAATTAATGGAAGGGGCTTAATCTTACAGTAAAACCTGACACGTATGATAACGTGTTCAGACAAACAAAGTTGTCTGCAGCAGTGTCATCTCCCGAAAGTAATGAGAACTAAGCAAACATTTTTCTTGGGAGAATGGAGGGGAAGAGTCTCAATATTTGCATAGAAGAATTCTCATAGTTCACCAGGGTTTGTTTTGCTTTTCTCAAAGAAAAATTTTCATGCAGTTCATGTGACATTTCTGCCAGATAAACCTAAAGACACTTTCATGTGCATGGCCAAACCATTTCTGTGCATTGGCAACCCTGGACTAATGAAAAGGCATTCATGTCGGAATGCACGTGTGCCAAAAACGTTCCCGCATTTCAACAGCGCATTTCCGCCTTATTCAGAGTCTTAGGACTTGCCGAGGTCGTCGATTCTGTGCTGATCACAGTTGGTTATAAATCTATTAGCTATCGTTAAATTAGATGTAAGTCGTTAGCTAACAGGCTCAGAAGTTGCCCCATCGTCTTGAATCTTGAATCGTATTCGACATATTTTTCAGTTGAGTCACCCTAAAGGACAAGGGAAAGCCATAGGCCTACTTAACGGGTACTTGTGCGTTGGAGTCATCTGAAAGCGTGTCGAACTTAAATGTATAACTATATTGGTTAATATGCTTGGAGTATCTAATTTGGACTTTTAACTAGGTTCTGTCGCTAACGTAGAAATGGAAGCGCTTAAGAAGTATATTAGCCTGCTGGACAAACAGCTGGAGAAGAAATGCTGTTTCAACGATATCCTCAAGAAAGCAGAGGAGAAGACTAAGGTCAAACGCATATATCTCGTGATTGGTGAGTGGGAGCAGTTACCCAGTCTTAAGTCTAACCTTTAAATGCATGTATTAATGATAGTCTACCTATTTGCTCGACATGAAGATAGGCCTATCCTAGGCTAATATAGGATGGGAAAGGCCTGAGGACAATCTTTTAGTAAAAGTAGTTTGCATCATAAGCAGCACAGACAATTCCACTGTTCCATTCCTACATCTGAGCATTGACAACAAATATTTACACACACCTTCATGCCCATCTCCCTACCTCTCTATTTTTCTATCTCCCTCTTTACTAGGGCTGGATAAATGCAGCATTAGAGAAATTCTCACAATTACTGGCTACCTTTTTCATCACAAAAGTGAAGCAGGAACCAGAAGGATATGAAGTTTACTTACTTTTAGAGTAAACCCAGTGTTATTGTATTTTTTTAAAATAGTAAATAAGGAATTACCTTTGATGGTTCACGGAATTCAGTTGGACAATTTTTTCCCAGGAGTGAAGTTCTTATCACATTGACTGGATTCCAAGATTCACCTTAATGGAAGAAGTAACAGTAACAGTTAAACCTACAATGAAATGCGAGATTATTCTGGGTGTGCAATACAGCCCAGATCTGTTTCAATGCTGTCTTGACATATGTCCCAATGCGATGTATTTGGGAGAAGACTCTTTCTGACTTTAGACTTCCCTTGCAGGCACCTCTCTATTTCTTGCCCTCTATTTGATGTATGGTTATGCTGCCGAGTTGATTTGCAACTCCATTGGGTTTATCTACCCGGCATATGCCTCGGTCAAGGCTATTGAGTCCAAAAATAAGGATGATGATACACAGTGGCTCATCTACTGGGTCGTCTTTGCTGTTTTCTCTTGCCTGGAGTTCTTCTCTGACATCCTTCTCAGCTGGTTCCCCTTTTACTGGCTCTTCAAGGTCAGTCTTTTCTGAAGGCACATTTTTCATAGAGGGTTTCTTGTTTGGATTGCATAATACCTTGCTTGCTGGTGTTTCAGTGTGTTTTCCTGATCTGGTGCTTTGTGCCAATCCAAAACAATGGAGCTCATCTCATGTACTACAAGTTCATTCGCCCTTATATCCTCAGACACCAGGACAAGGTAGACAAGGCATTAAGTGATGCCACACAACATGTCTCTGACTTTGCCAGGAGGAAAGGTAATCTGCATTTTTTCTGGGTTTTTAGGCATAGTAATTATTACTTTAAGCAGAATATAATCTGTGTGGTTCTGTTCCTTATTTTTCAGCCCAGGAATTTGGTTCAGATCAGTTCAAGGGAGATTGAACTTACTGACGAGGACACAGGAATGTTAACCTGAACACATGCAATGTTTTTGGTTTTTTCCCTCCCCCCTCTTTAATGATGTTGATATGTGTAAAAACCCTTGAAGGAGGCTCACATGAGCCAAAGGAGTTGATCCCACAAGGACCAAGGTTGTGTAGTCTTCCAATATAAAAGATGGAAACTTGCTCCATGTGATAGCCCCCACACATGTAGTCTGTCTATCCTTGGCAATATGTATCATTTGGTTTGTTCTTATTCTGCTCCCCTTCTGTCTTCTTTGTGAAATGGTTTTATCACTGTGTGCTATTTTCTCGTACTTTTCAGTTTACTCTATCATGATCGTGTCTGTGAGAGCAGATGTTGATTTGTGTCAAACCATCCCCAATTGTGTAAAATTCTTTGTCCATAAGGAATGAAGCCATGATTGAATTGCCAACCACTTCATTTCCGTTTTTGTTTTTTTCCCACTGGTTCAGTTGAATGATTTAACATTGAGCCATTGAGCTAAGATGTTTTAACAGACTGGCACCATTTTCTGGGTTTCTGGTCAGAAAAGTCAGCAAACTGACATCAATTTCTGGAATGCTTGATGCTCGAGTTGACCTGTGCATGGGAATTGTTGATTTTCAATATAGGATAATGAAGATAGAATTGTTATGAGAAAACACCTCCATGGAGCACAGTGAGGCTCATTGTAACATTGTTATCAATACAATGAAAAAACGGAGTCTTGCTTTGGCAGCAAGATGGAGCTTACAATTCTCCAACATCCAACATGCCTTTGAACCATGTGAGAATTAAAGTGGAGGAGCTATCCTGAAATTTTGATGATAGTCTAATCCAAGTATAAATTCTTGAAATTGATAAAGCACAATTGGTATTCCCTTTGAGGATATCCATAAATTGACTTAGGCTTGCCATCAAGGTGCCTAGGGTGTTGGAGAGAATCCATGTTGGCTAAATTATGATTAATGATATGGTTCCTCAATGCAGAGCATCTTTTTTGCCAAATATGAAAATTGCAGGGTGTTCATGCATACTCGGCACTCCCTTCCCAGACCAAAATGTTGCAACCACACCAGGCTGTGAATTCTTTTTATTGCAGGGAAGGGATATATCAGTATGTATATTAAATTTTAAAAAAAGAAACGGCATATTTCTTGATCAAGTGAGGTTTTTCCCTGATAGGAAAGCTTCAGCATCATGGATCGCATTTTTCAGATCCTCATAGGGAGTCAAGGCACATGCTTCCTCCAATGTAGCCCATCGGTATTCTGTGTGTTCCTTGGAGAGACAAATCTCAGACTTTCCAATCAATTGGGCTAGCCAGTAGATGGTCGTTTTTGGCTTGCCGTGTGCCTTGTACTGGAACATAGGAATAAGGAGTGATGACCAAGACCTGACCTTAAGTAATATTTAAACCTAGTGAGGTAAGTACATAAATTTGTACTGCACAAGGATCATAATAAGTTCACTACTATGAGCATTTGGAGGGAAAAGGGTCTGTCACTTGACCATTGCTTAATATTGGAGAATACTATTAAAGCACTTTTCATAATATCACAAAAAAATCAAGATTTTAATGAGTAGGCCTAATTCATGGAAAAGTTACTGGGCAAATGTGCTGGAGACTCTAGAAAATAATACCAAAAAAAGTGATGTGACTTATGTGAATTTCTTGAGCAATGAAAGCCTGATCATCTTCCTCCCGAATCTCATGAAAAACAATTTTTCATAAGCATTGGTAACACTGCTGCCACTATCAGCATTGGAGCTGGCAGATTAGAGGGCCGGCCATGTAATTTGCCAAAGAAATGAATAGCATGTAATATCTATTGTTATAATGGCCATTATGACAATTGATATTACATTTATTTTTTATTAGAAAAAAGTAAACTCATTTCCATCTCCTAGGTGCCCCTTTCTCTATGCAACCTTATATATTTCCCCATGTATACTTAATGTAAACTTTATACTGGTACCATCAGCTCAGCTTTGAAATCTGGGAAGAGCTTGAGATGTTCTTTCCACAATCCAGCTTCTTCATTGGTCTCCCTGTATGCTGTGTCTAGATCATTCTCACCAGGGTCCACATGCCCTAAGGAAGACAGAATGATGTGAGATGGAATCAGAAGGGAAGGTAGACATCTGCAAGGAAGCTACAGGAAACCCAGGGAAAGAGGAGAATCAAAAAGAAGAAGTAGTTGGGGAGGAGGGGTCACGTCCAGGGAAAGAACTCCTGGATTTGTGGCTGAATTGTCCCATGAAGATCCGGCTGACAGATGGTCGAACCCTGGTTGGAGATTTCCTCTGCACTGACAAGCAGGCCCATCTGATCCTTGGATCGTGTCGAGAATATCTGAGTGAAGCTGCTGAAGAAAGTGAGGAGGAGCCCAGAGTCCTGGGCTTGGCCATGATACCAGGTCGACACATAGTCTCCATTCACATCGACGAGGCATCCATTCAATCAAGGACACTATGAGTCAGGTTTGCTTTCTCTTTTACTGTCAAGGACTTGTAGTGGAGTCAAAGTGAACACCTTTTATATATTCTAGTTTTGCATATTTTTCTAGTACTTTTTGTCAGATCCACTAAGTAGCAAGGTCAAGTCATAGTCATGCCTGGAATTTTTTCCAAAATTTTGTAAGTCTAAGCTACAAATTGTATGTGTGGCAGTAGAGAAATAATGCATCTGAATAAATAGAAGTGGACATGGTCATAAAAAGAGTCAAAGTGGTAGAGAAGGTTCAAACTGCATGGGCCCAATCAGCTTTTTGGACAATTCTTGAAACTGGAACACAGTGAATTACCTTTTGGAGGAGTCCAATGAAGGCTCCCATAAGAGGCTTTCAGCATCAAATATTGGAATCCATTTGGTGCAGTGCGAAAAACAAGAAAGCCAGCAGCTCTCACGGTCTCAGTCATGGTGGATGCTATTCCAAGTCTGCACTCTTCATCACAAGGACTTCCGTGAAGGTTGCAATCTCTGGCTGGCTACCAGCCAGGTTATACTTATATTTAATTACAGTTCCACACACAATGCTATGGGAAGGATGAATATGAGTCAAGGCCTATACATGTAGGATATTGTTCAATTTGAACTTGCCATTTTGAGTTATAAAATTTAGAACTAAACTTACTATATATCTCTAAACATAGGTAATAAAACCTCATTCATATCAGCCTGTTTTTCCTGTTGCAGTATTGTTTGGTATATTTTGGATTATTTTTTACACTTTCTCATTCCTGTCCAATTGGTTTTCATGTGACTGGAAGTCTTTTATGCTGATTAGGAGCACTTGATAATTAGGCATATTGTAGTCCAACAATGAAAAGTTGAACTTAATTGAAAAGTTATAATATATATACTATAAGAGTGATGCCAGCCTTTACAGTGTCCCAGGCATTGTATTAAATAAATTCCATTGTTTTTCCTGTTATTTAGCTCCAGAGAGAGGAGTACAAATTCCATCCAATTGGACACATTTGTTCAATTTACTCTGCTAAGAATGGAACTCCTCGTCAGGCCAACATCTGCCCCATGAGTAAAGCCAAGCTGCAGATCTCCAAAGAATGTTTCGGTAATCCTGAGCACAGTTTGGAAGGCCTCTCCCAGTTTTCCCACATCTGGTCAGTACCCTGCTTTGATGTCTTTTGCATCATCAGAAACTGTATTAAAAGCAGGAAATTTTTTTCAGGTTGCTGTTTGTGTTTCATGCCAATCACCACGCACATCACGGGAAGGCAAAAGTGGCTCCTCCGAGACTCAAAGGACGGAAGACAGGCGTGTTTGCATCCCGATCTCCTTACCGGCCCAATGCCCTGGGCCTCTCACTTGTTAAGATTGACCGCATTGAAGGTGACAGGCTCTCACCTAGTCCGGTGCTTTCACTTTATAACTGCAATACATGGGTCAGGATTTCTTTTTCTATATCAGGAGATACTCTGTATCTCTCTGGCGGAGACATGATCGATGGCACTCCAATCCTTGATCTCAAACCCTATCTGCCATCCTATGATTGCCCCATCACAGAAGCAGAAGACAACAGTTCAAATACTTCAAAGGACAGTGCTGGTACCCCCTCATGGATCAAAATGGCTGATGAAGTCAAACTCACAGTTAGGTTCACTCCAACAGCACAGAGTCAACTGACTCAGTTTTCACATGACTCAACTGATGCCCAATATCAGCTGGAATTCATGGAGTCAGCTGAAGAACTACAATTGGCATTGATAAAGATTTTGTCAGCAGATCCTCGCTCAGTCTATCGCTCGACCAAATGCAGTGATAGACTATATTATTTTACTGTGGACAAGGCCCATGTCACATGTTGGTTCGACGATGATGAACACGTAGTTGAGGTTCTGAAAGTGAATTCTACTGCTTCTGCTCCTCATTTGAGTTATAAGACCTTTTCAGATATGGAAAATTGATAGTAAAGTATTCACTTGTCTGTGATGGAAAATTAAAATTAAAATGATTGCAGCTATAATGATAGGAGTGTTTGAGTTGAGAATGAATGAATGTTCCTCAAACTCAAAAATGTTTACCAATTTCGTCATTTATGAGGATGGCCAAGGGAAAAATGCCTAATCCCTGTTGTCAATTGACAATGAAGCTGAATGTGTAAGAAAAAAGTTGACCTGGATGGCCAACTTTTTTTCTTACATGATGGCTTGGTCTTATTAATGGTTGGCATCAGGAGATCTTGCATTTCCTTGCAAGCATGGTGAACCCTTTCATGAGACCGAAACTAGGAGGCCATTTTCCAAACTCTACTTTATTTCCTCAATTTGTTCCAAGCTAGTAAGTATTAGGATTTCTCTCACCCTCACTAGCATGAAAAAATCAAAGCAGCAGAATAAATGTAACACAAATTCCTGCATGATCAGAAGTCCAAACATCAGAAAACAGTTGACCAAACTGTCTTTTGTGATGTTTTGTATGATGGAAGATTAGTCATAAGCCAATGATCTGATATGGCATAAACCATACTTAGCAGTCTGTAAATGAAAAGTGATTCCGTTCTGTGTTTTGAAATATTTAAACTGCTTACCTCCTTAAGTGTTACATAGTATTTTAATAAATAGATTTTTATGTATCAAAACATAATTTTTAAGGAATATGAACTTGCCATTCCTTTTCCATGTAAAAAAGAATGAGGAATGCAGTAACTTGAATCCCAAGGTCAAGGGAAAATTTTCCTTAATGTATCTGAGAGCTGACAAGAATACACAGTATTCAGAGTAAACTTAGGTTTAAATAATAATAAAAATTGGGAGCTTTAGCAACAATATTTTGAACTGAACTGAAATTTGCTACATATCTGAAAGTGGATTTTACCCAATGCAATCAGACTAAATATTCTGCTGTACTAGGCACCTCTTCACTAATAACCCTGATCTTCCCCTTGCTGAAGTGATCAGGGGTGCACAACCTGCAGACATATTTCCCATAGACCTTAGTTCTGTTTTCATTAGGCCTACTTTCATGAAAGATACCACTTTTTGGCAAGTACATTCCTATCTGTGTGTCTGCCCGCCTCCCATTTTGGTAGTCCAATTATACCTTAAAAAGATATATATTAGTCTGATTACTGGGAAAATTGATGTGCAGATAGATATGAACAAGGCACAGGCTAAGTTTTTTTCACCAATGTTTGCATTAAAACAAAATTCTTATGACAAGTGTGATAATGTGAAATTCATTCAATGCAGGACAGGTATGAGCATCTATCAGCTTCCCTGGATCTCAATCTAAAAGGGCATGTAAAGCACTTAGCCTAAATTGGGATCTCATGTCTTCAAACTAGAGCCTCCACTTCACCTTGGTGGCTGATGAATCTATCATTGACAGAGACACAATCATAGCAGACAGAGTTGTTAGCTGAACTTATGGATTATCATGTCTGGTGATGCTGCTTGCCATATTCCCTTAGCATTTTGCCACCTCCTTGCCCACTGTTCCCAATGGTCCTTGAAAGGAGGCCCTCAACTAGATTAGGCTTGACAAGCTTGTTATCTATATGTTTACTTTTAGCAGCTTTCCCAGTATCTCTGCCTGCATTCTTTCCTAATCCTCTTCCCCCCCTGAAAGTCGCTTTCATCTAAAAACTTTCAGTAGGTCTTTATGGACTTCCTTGGCTGCACAGTTGAGCAGTGATTGCACTTTGATGTAAGCATGACTCTCGAGATCAAATATTTGCATGTTTTCATAATGGTTTTTACATGGGTCACTCCCAAAGGTCATATCTACAATATAAGTCTATTTAAAAATTCCTAATTTAGTAGCAAAGCCACATTGAAAAATGGTCTTTCAAATGCTATTACTAACATTCGCCAGAGGTAAGGGAGGTAAGGTAATAGGGGTGTTCCTGGAACTTATTGACTGGCCCTTGTCTGTATTTGAAACATTAAAATGAGCAATTCATAGAAGGCAATTGAAAAATTCAAGCCGCTCCAAAATAACAATTCTCCATTTTTTTTTTTAAAGCGATAAATTTTGGAAAGATACCTAGGGCCGTATTCACGAAAACTTCGTAAGAATGCTATATATTCTTACGAACTTCGTATCTTTGGTATTCACGAAACTTCGTAAGTCCTCGTCTCATTCTTACGAACACTGTTGGTATTCATGAAACTTCGTAGCGATGATAATGAGCCAGCCAATCATAACCGAGCTCGGGAGCTACTAAACCAATCGCTGAGTAGAAAACAACGTGGTTCTCACGCTGGTAGCATGACTCACGAGTCCCCATATCATAGGAGCCTTCTGCAAACTTTCTGCGCATTCCGTGCCGTTGTTTTTGCTCTTACAGGAAGTTTTAACACGACTGGAGATCCTGTCGAATCTTCGAAAACACCCTAAAAGACGGTACCCAGTGAATCTCAACGTAATAANAGATCCTGTCGAATCTTCGAAAACACCCTAAAAGACGGTACCCAGTGAATCTCAACGTAATAAAAACTACCTCAAGGTTTCAGAAATACCCAAGGAAAAGATCTGAACGCATTATCAACGTTCGTATCATGGAGAGTAGAGGAGAAAGTGGTCGACGACCGAATTTCACCAGTTATAAAATTGGGATGCTCATTGAAGAAGTCGAGCGAAGGAAGAATGTCTTGCTGAAGAAACTCAGCTCAAGCGTTGTAGGAATATGGAGAGTAGAGGAGAAAGTGGTCGACGACCGAATTTCACCAGTTAGAAAATTGGGATGCTCATTGAAGAAGTCGAGCGAAGGAAGAATGTCTTGCTGAAGAAACTCAGCTCAAGCGTTGTAGGAAAAATGAAATTGCAAGCATAGGATTTAGAGACTGAGGCGGTGAGCTATCTCTCCTCTGTACGGAGGACTGCTAAAAAAAGTAAAATCTAATTCATGGACCTGAAGTGACGTGCAAGGCGAAAGGGGTTAAGTTTCTCGGGTAGAGTGGTGGTAGATCTTTCCCACTGTCCGGTCTCTGTTGAGAGATTTTTCAATAATTGAGCGGAAAAAGAGCTTTGCTGGCGCATTGTCTTACTTTTCTGACACTGGATGAATGTGAATAACCTCAACCTCCAAGACAAAATCTTGCGAATCCTGTTTGCATATATCCTGTTAACCGCCAAGTGGGAATGAACCTTAGCTTAATTGAGACACCCAATGAAAGAGAGTTCCACAGATTCCCTCGACATCATCATTGTGGCCACTTACGATACCTCGGGACCATTCGTAGACTTGCGAAGAAAGATACGAACTTTTGTGCTTTCGTGAATACCAAAATTAAGCAGCATTCTTACGAACTGTGTACGAAGATCGTACAAACATCTTGCACAAAAGTGCTTCATGAATACCACTTATGAACTTCGTACAAACTTCGTAAGAATTTCGTGGCAGGAGAGGTTTCATGAATACCACTTACAAACTTTTCTCTTCTTACGTTCTTTTTCAAGCATTCTTACAAAGCACTTATGCCGGGGTCCAAGTTTTAAGACCAAAATCAATACCCTTACGGAATGAAAAGAGAAGTTTCAAACGGAGGAAACTTTCCAGTTATTCTTACCTTTCTATTAGATGACAAAAATAAGTTTTGTAGTGAGGTATTTTGCTCATACACTGGCTTGTTTTGTAGGGAGATCAGAGCAACATGATCAAGGTGAAGGACCTGAAGAGAAGGAAAATTGTCATCCCATGTAAGAATCTCTATTCTTCCCATTTTTATTTTTTCACTTTTCCCCATAATGAGGCATCCAGAATATTGCAGGGAGAGGAAGCATAGAGGTGTTGCAAGTGCCAAGGTGCAGTTTGAAGTTGGGCAGCTGTTTGAAGCACTCGAGGAGCAATGGGTCTGACTTTAAAGTGTAACGTATGCTGCTGTGCCATGACATTATGTGCCATGACGAGACAGTTCTGTGATTCTTTGAATTTTTTTTGCAAAATATTGACAGGATTGTTCTTCATCCTATTCTATCATCTTTTGAGCTCTTTAATGCAAATGAAAATGCCTTTCTTTTGGAATATGGGAACATTACCAGCAATAGTATTTCCTTTTGTAGGGTTTTCTTTGCTATTTCATGTTCTGTTTTTATACCTCATTCATAAAATATTTTGTGCTGATGTTGAAACTCCTTACAGTTGATATGTACATGGAAATTCTTGATATTTGGGCATCCTCTGTGTAGAGGAGGACTTATTTCTTAAAGTCATATGCCCAAAGCTCTATGGGTGGAATTTGTTC